TATCCATTCCGGCGGCCGACAATTTCTAATTTGACGACCGACAGGGTCATGGGGTTGAACTTGTGGCCCGCATTTAACATAGATTAATAGGAAAAACCACTGCACCGCAAGAACCAAATGCTTCAATTGACGTTTTCAAAATGCACCACACCAAATAAGCTGTCCCAAACGGGCCCTAAAAGTGGAAAAATTATTTATGAAACACATGATAAAAAATAGATGTCAAAGTTATTGAGAGACTCAATGCCATCTCAATTTTCATATTATTTGGCTTTATTGATTTTGAAAGAGATTTATTTAATGCTTATATTTGCATTTATTTAGAAAGTTAGAACTTATATTATATGATATATGATCGTGAGAAAGCCTAGGAGTCAGGATTTACATTATGACTAGACGAACAACCTCAAAATTCTAAGACAAGTGAGATTTACCGAAAGAAGTAAAATCTCAGAACTAGTTTAAATGAAGAAAAACTAATAAATGGGAATTACAATCTTGTCTCCAAAGAGTTGCCATCTAAATCACTTAACCGTGTTAAATCATGCATGGCCATTCTCAGGAATGCATGTTAGGATAAACTATTATTTATTAGTAAAAGTAGGCCTTACTTGATTACAAAAATCAAGATGTCAAAATACAAGTGACATGCAAAATATTGTAAGACTAATCTGAATTTATTTTTGTAATTTCAAATTTAAAAAAAAATTATTGCTCACCAAATTGAAGTATTTTTTTTGTTTATTCTTAGTGCTGAGTGACAAAACAACATGTGTATAGAAATGCACATCCTTAAAGATGAATGTTTAGAAGATTCATTTATAAGGAGACAGACTCAATCTATAAGCTGATGATCATCAAAGGACACATTTCAAAATTGCTATTATTTTGTGTTTATTATTAAATTTTGTCATGTTTTAGAATAATTTTGAAATTTTGATGATTTTCAATTTTTCTTTTCATTTTTATTTTATTTTTGTTAATTTTGAAATTTTATATTGAAATTTTAGATTTTAATGAAATTTTTGGTGAGTTTGGTTTCATTTGATTTCAACTTTGATTTTGATTTGTGATTTTGATGAATTTTATTTCATTTGATTTAGTTTGGATTTTAATTTGTGATTTTAATTTTTTCTTATTATTCTTCTTTCTTTTATTAAATAATAACCTCTTACTTCAAAATGAATTACATACCCAGTGTATTCTTTTTGAACCAAAGAATGAGCCATCCAAAGAATTATGGAAGAGATTGCAAAGTGCTTAGAGAAAGACCAAACAAAAGACCCAAATATCTTAGGTCTAAAGGTAGCATAGGGCATTTCCAAGCTTATTAGAAACTCAACGTAAGTTTCAATGACTTAACCTCAATTAATTCAACAAAGTGTTAAGGATTTAAAGTGAAGTACATTAAATTGAGGTGTGAAGATGTGGTTTAAAATTCTAACTTGGTGTTTCGTTCCATCACTAGTCTTTTAGGAAAAACCACTAAGGAAGCCCTAAGACTAAATCCTAAGTTCTAGAGAGAATGAATAAGATAGACTTCATGCAAAAATGTGGTCAACAATATTCAACAGTAAAATAATAATACTAATTTGGGGATTGTTCTTCGCTTGGCTTAGAAAATCGGATTGGACTGGCCACCGACTGGACTGGCAAGTTCGACCGCTAAACGGTGGCCAGTCCAGTCCAAACCATGTAAAAAATTCATTCAGGCTTTAAGCTGGCGAGAACAGGTCGAACTGGTTGTTCAATCTGTTCAACCTGTCGACCAACAATCCGGTTCAATGTTTTTTAATTTCGCGGTTTGTGATAAAATCCCTAGCAAATCCTTCTTTTCCTTACTATCACCGTCTCACGTTTGACGGTGACACACACTGAGAGTTCGTCTCCATTAGAGCCGTTTGCCATCTTTGGAGCCGTTCGCCATCTTTCAACGCTAGATATCAACAGTGGCTAGCCATTTCACAACAGTTACAGTAAGTTTTGGGATTTCCTAGTTTCTAAGTCCAAACTATTCTTCATATGCTAATGTGAGGCTCTTTTGCTTGGGTTTTTTTCCCGAATGTTCTTACCGTAATGCTTACTCAGTTGCGTGCATGTTTTTTTTTTTAAATTTTTTACCGAATGTTCTTACTTGAATGCTTACTCAGTTACTTTCTTACATGGTTATGCCTACCTTCATTCCCAAATGTGTTCTGAATTTTAGATAATAGTGAACTGAAAAATGAAAATATTAAATATGCAAATATGTAAATACATACGATTTGTGTTAAATATGCATTCATATGACTCAAGTTTCTAGCTTACTTGCTTTCACGGTTAATGCTTATTTGCTTATGCCGTTCCATGTCTTTCACTCGTATTAAATCTATGATTTTGGACTTAATAAAAAAGAATGTTTTAATAATCTATTAACTAATTTAACTCTATGGTTTCAGGTAATCACTGCACACTTCAACCTTCATTGTGGGAATTTGCTCCATTAATCCATGATTCCATTAATATGGAGTTTAATTTAGTGGTTTTCTGAACAAGTCTTGGTGTTTTCATCCCAGTCAATCAGATTTCCATATATTTATATTAATTTGAAGAAAATTTAGTTATTATGTTTTCACATCAGCTTGCACTCTTTATTTTTTTTTGTTCTTCTTTTATATTTTTCATTATTGCATCATTCTTTTATCATTTAAATCATATCAATTAATATTTATATTTATTACGTCATTCGTTTCGACCCCCGGTTTAACCCCGGTTGATCCATTGAATCTTGAACCTTCCCTTCTTTCGGTTTAATGTCCGGGTCTGGTTTTAGAACCTTGGTTCTTCATTCAATTTTCTAGCCTAAGGGCATGTTTAATATTATAGGTTTTAGGGTATAGGATTGTATACATGCGGATGGCGAATCCAGTTTTCTCCATATGAATGAAATCCTTGTTAGTTATGCTAAATAGAATCTTTATCTATCCGAAGTAGCCACACCTCCTTCTTTATTCACTCAAGTAGTTTCTTCTTCGCCTCTTCTCTTTGACACATGTGGGATTGTGGTAGTTTTTAATTATGTACTAGTCTTAGTCTACATGAATGTCCGAGTTTGTCACTCCTTGATGAAAACGGCTTTCTTAATCATCAACATATTGCCTTTAATTATATTATCATGCTTGTTGAAAAAATGATCTTAATTTATTGGAATTAACTGAAAATATGACACTCAATAGGAGTCAATGGAGAAAAAAAGATTCATGCAACTGACCTCATTTAGTGGGACAAAGGCTCGTTGTTTTTGTTGTGTTCTCGTCAACTCTTACCTTTGTTAACGAACAAAATTTTATTGAATGCATTCCTCTAAAATTTCGATACGGTTTCGAACAAGATTTTTTTAATTCAATGATCAATTGTTGGAAGCCTTAGCAACATGTTCAAGAATATTTTTCCTGAACTCCTAAAATCTTGCTTGTATATCTTCTGGAGTACATGCTACCAGTACTGTAGATTAAACATTTTTTAGAGGAAAGTATGGTCTTTAAATAAGATGGCCTACCATTTGTGTGTCAATGTTGTTTCATGCCTCTAGGCAATGCCACACATATATGAGCTATAAACTGTACAAAAGATGCAAGTTCTAATACCTTCAAATGACTTTCTGTGCTGCTTACTGGCATGGATTGGCTTATGCAGTGAGCTTGACGTGGAGGTTCCAGCAGGGGCATTTAAGATACCCCTACAACAGTGTTGCTACAGTACCGGGGACCAGCCAGCTAGTGCCTGGGGACCAGTCAGAACAATGAATTCAGGGCTGACCAGCCTTTCTTACATGAATTGATGCCTCCTTTTAACAGTGGGCTAAATTCTAATTAGTTAGAGCTTATATATTTTTTTTTCTTGTGTTTAGGTTTTCAGTTTTTGGTCGTATTTCTGTTCATAGCAGCCGTCAGCGTCATCCTAGTTTCTCCCTTCTAGAGCTGTATTTAAAGGTTTGTGATGCTCCAACTGTAGCTCTCCTCTGGGGTGGTGATGCTCTTCAAAGAGTCGAGTGGTGTCCCGGCTGTAGCTCGTTCTTGAGGGAGTATTTATCCTCGTTTTCTTGCCCTTCGCAACCCTCTCTTCGCCGCCGCCTTTCCTCACTGCTGAAACCATTTGACAACACCGCTGCTTTCTTCCCGCAACCCCAGTCGCCAGCCACCACCTCCACCAGCTGCCATCCTTTCCAGCCCCCTCCCACCTTGTTGCCACTCATTTCAGCCACCCGTCTTTGTGGTCCCGCTACCCCTTCTCGCTGCCAAAGCTCGGGACAGCTGTCGCTTTGCTGTCCCACAGTCCCACACATTCCCCGCCACTATCGCGGTCATTCCCGCTTGTTGCCACAACCCCAAACAGCTGTTTCAGCCTCCTGGCCAGCTGTTTCTAACATTCCAGATTGCTGCCATTGCTGCAACTGATCCCCTTCGCTGCCTCCATCCTCCTTCCTTGCTGCTGTAACCTAGGACCACCCTTTCCAGCTGTTTAAATGATGTCCAGCACCTCTTCTTTGCTGCCACTACCATTTCAGCCCTCCATCCATGCTCCTGTCACCCCCGGCAGCCCTCCCACATCACTCCCTGTTGTTTGCTTGCTGTCCGGCACAAGGGAAACAGCTGCTTGCTTTTGTTTTGCTTGCCAACCGCCTTTTCCATCTCGCGCCACCTCCCAAACACTCGCCAACCACCACCAACACTCTTGGGATACACTTTAGTTGCATTTGTTGTTGTACTTTCCCCTTCATGTGCGTTATTTGTAACATACTATTTGCTTTTAGTAATAATATTTGCTCTGCCTCTTGTGATTTATAGGTTAACTCCGGTATCAGATCTATTTAGGCTGGCAACACCTGCAATAATATTCATAGTATAATTTATGCAATGAGGCACTGTATGAGACTGTAGTTTTGAGTGAAAATGTGCTCCATCTGTTTTTCTCATTTTCAATTTAGTACTTTATTTATAAAGTAACGTATATACTCGCAGATATTTTGTTGACCAGTCACATGAATAATTCTCAAATCTGCACTGGAATTATTTTTGAATCCAATTCATCAGAAGCTCAAATTGGCAATTCAAGTTCATCTGAACGTAACTGTGTTTTGCCATTAGTTATTAATTGCAGAGGCTGTCATCAAGACTATTCAGAGCATCAAGAACGGACCTCAAGCAACGTGGCATTAGTATCTTCTGAAAAAAATGAGATCATCCGTAAGCTTCATTGCAGCAGTAAAGGTTTGCATGTTGAGGCTAGAAGCTCAACTCCCGAGGCTTCAACATCAGAGGATTTGGCTGGAGCACATGCTGGCAGTGAACTATCTTTTCTCAATTTTAAGGCTATTGATATACCTCAGGTAACTTCTTTTTTAGCTCCATTATGCTTTGATGCTTTCTAGGATGAAATTTTTGTTAAAAAATATATTTTTTTTAATTTTTAGATACCGAATGAGAAATCTCAAGGACTTCTGGAAGAAATGAAAGTTCTTGACAGTTCAAAGAAAAATTCAAATCTGGGAAAATCTAAGAATGCATCCAGGCCTTCAAATGGGAAGAAAACAGTCTCTAAAGGGAAAACCAAAAGAGAACCACATGCTCTGAAGCAGTCTTCTGCGATGAATGTAAAAAGTTTTAGTTCTACATGTAAATCTATTGGAACTTTAAACAAGGACATTCCTTCAGTTGAGATGCGTGAGCAGTCCCTAAATGACCATAGTTTAAAGACATCCTCTGTGGGTTTTCAGACATCTGTTATTCCCGATTTGAATTCATCTTCATCCTCGACATTATTTCACCAGCCTTTCACCGATCCACAGCAAGTGCAATTACGTGCACAAATCTTTGTTTATGGAGCTCTCATGTATGTTAAATACATTTAATGTCTTATGATGTTTATAAACTTATTGATAAGAATGAATGCAGTCTTGCTCTTTTGTCGCAGCTCAGGTATGCCTCCAGATGAAGCTTACATGTTATCTGCCTTTGGAGATTCAGGTTAATATATACACTATTTCCTGTTATTATTATATATTTCTTGTTATGTATGCGGGTTGATATGTTTGATTTTTTGCTGGTTTCTATGTTTGATTTTATTATTATATACATCTTGTTATGTATGCTGGTTTATATGTTCTATTTTTTCTGGATAGATGGTGGGAGGAACTTGTGGGAGGGTTTATGGCATGCTTGGATTTTAAGGTTTCAGAATAGAAAATCTCCTGTTGGCTGTTATGATACTCCAACACAATCTAGGCCAGGTATATAGCTTGAGTTACCTATAGCGGCATTCTTTTATTCTATGTTTTGTCATTGATTGTTCTCTGGAAATAATTTGTTCATAGCAATCTGGATTCCTGAAAGACTTTTAATAGGTAATGATGTTCAAATCGAAGTCCCAAGCACTTCTGCCACAAGTGACAGCATTAGCATTTCCTCGGCTGCATTTAATTCCACGATGCCATTGCCATCATCTTTAAGGAGTTACTCGTACGGAAATGATGGACACCATGCCAGTATATCACGAGGCACTTACCTGAACTTTAGTCAATCTCCATCTCCACTGCCCCATCAAACTTCCGTATCAAGGCAGCATGTGGGTGCTAATTCATCTTTGCCATCTCAGTCACCTCGCCCTGGACCATGGTTTGTTTCATCCCAGATTGCACCACTTGATGGCATCAAACGATATTCCACAGTATCTGTTCCTGAAACTGTTCATGTAACACCTGTAAGGGATTCATGCAGGCCTCATAGGTCTACAGTAGAGGTTATCCCGCTGAGTATTTTGATGTCTATTCCAGATACATCCATCACAAATACTGCAGATTTACGGAAGGAAACATCAAAAAGGGCAGCAGCTAGTGGAAACAGTAAGTATAACCAGACCACTCAAAAGGCTAGAAAGAGACAAAAGAGCGAGTCAGCAGAGGGGACGAGTTTGCCAGCTTCTCGAACTTTACCTGAGTCTGTTTCTGCTGTCAGCGATGTTAGAAGTCTTCCATTGTCTTCTACAAACACGCATGGTTCTTCTAATTCACAACTAAATGTTGCTAGTCCTACCCCTGCTTTGATAAGTGCACCTCACATTGTTTCTGCTACTCATTATCAGATAATCGATGCTAATAATCAACAGAAAGCAATCTTATCCGAAGAAACTTGCAGCAAAATTGAGCTGGCTAGGCATCAAGCTGAAGATGCTGCTGCTCTTGCTGCTACTACCGTCAAGCATAGTCAAGACATATGGAGTCAGCTACTTTCTCAGAATAATTTTGGATTTGTTTCACTGAATGAAGAAAAACTTGCTTCTGCAGCTATTGTTGCTGCTGTGGCTTCATCTGTTGCAAAGGCGGCGGCTGCTGCTGCTAATGTTGCAGTTGGGGCCGCTTTGCAGGCCAAATTAATGGCAGATGAAGCTGTAAGTGTAGCAAAAGATGGTAACACTGTTTTAAATTCAGACTCTGGCGTTCTTGATGTTGGTAAGAAATTAGTGGGAATATCTCCTGTTTCAATTCTGAAAGGAATGGACCAGATCCATGGATTTGGCATTATTTCTGCTGCAAGTGAGGTTACCAGAAGGCAGGTTGATTCAGCATCTGGTGCCACAAAGAGGGCAGAGAACATGGATGCTATTGTGAAAGCTGCAGAGTTGGCTGCAGAAGCTGTTGCCCAAGCGGGAACAATCATTACAATGGGGGATCCATTACCATTTACATTGAGCCAATTGGCAGATGCCGGGCCTGAAGGTTTCTGGAGAGGACATGATGGTTCATTCATGAAGTTTTTTAAATCTAGAATCACACATGGAGCAGAGAATTTAGGATTGGTTAGTGCTAAAGAGTATGATGGATCACCTAAGCAATTGGACGGTCAGTTTTCAAAAGATGAAGACACTCAGAAGGCTATTGATGAAGGCGGGTTATCTTCTTTGAATGAATATCACGAGCAGTTTGAGCCTAGAACCCAAGGTATGAATTTTTTTTTCTTACGGATTGTTTTGCTTTGATCAGAATTTCCTTGCTTTTGAGTTGAATACAATTTTTGCTAATTGTCGTTTTAGTTGGCAGTTTAGACCTCCAAACTAGTTCTCGCAGAATGAATTCTACCTCTTGAGGCTTCTGCTGCCACTTAACATGTAGCCGCACATGTCTGCTTTTTAAAAATAGTTTTAAAAAGCCATATTGGACATTTCTGTTACGGTTTTACTACTGAAAAGCATTGGATAGCTGCGACATAGCAACTGTAGAATTAGCATTTCTGATTCTGGAAATTGCACACGTAGCAGATATTGAGATACAAGCTATGAATTTTTTGTCTTGGTATAAAATTTAGCTGCATGTATGTTTCACCCTGCAGGAACTTTTCCCATTTCTGGACTTCAAAGGGTTCATTCTGCTTCGAGTATAAAAAAGGGTTCGGTGGTTGAGGTAGGATGTTCTCTTATTTATTTTTTATGCCCAAATTTGGCCTTTTTTCTCCATTTATGCTCATCTTTTTTTAAAAAAAAACTTTATCTGTATTAATTTTAAGATTATTTGTAAGGCTTTATTAATGTTACGTCACAAAAAAGCGATGTGGTTTTAGTGTGATGACACATAATTGATTAAAATTATTGTCATATTATTCTAATTTTATGACTATTACTGCAACAACAATAACTGTAAGCCTTTATCCCACTAAGTAGGGTCAGTTACATATTCATTTAATTCTAATAAATTAATATCATTTTTTATATATGCCCAAAACTTTTTAGGTTTACCTCTGCCCTTCTTAACACAAGTCAAATCTAAAACATCTACTCTCCTGATTGGGTCATTAGATGGTGGACATTTAATGTGATCAAACCATCTAAAACGACTCTCTAATCTTGTATGACACTAGAGCTACTTCAAATCTTTCACGGAAATATTCGTTTCACATTTGTCTCCAAGTGTAGAGCTACTCATCCACCTGAGCATTCTAATCTTAGCAACACTTAATTTTATGCTTCTCTTTTTCTGCTCGACAAAGCATTGCAGGTCTTATCATCATCTTATAAAGTTTTCTTTTTAAGTTTAAGTGGTACTTTTCTATCACACAATTGGCGCAATGCATTTCTCCACTTCAACCATCCAACTTGAATTCTGCTAATAACATCCTCATCGGTATCACCATCACTTTGATCAATAGTCTCGAGATGTCTAAAACAATCACTCATTTTAATGAATTGATCACTCTATATTATAACCCCACTACATGATTTACTATTATTAAAATTCTATTCAATATTAAATTTTAGATCTACTTAAATGAAAGCCTTTACTCTAAATTTGACTTCTATAATTCAAGTTTTTTTGAATCTCCTCTTTAATTTTATCCACAAGAAGGATATCATTAGCGAAACATACACTAAGGTACATCCTCCTATTGATGTCTTGTATGAATATCCATAAATAAAAGAAAAAGATATGAGCTTAAAGCCAAACCCTGATGTAATCAATTGAAATAGGAAAATACTTGGTCAATCCTCCTCGTATTAGACACAAATAACAACTCTGGAATACATTTCTTTAATGACTTGAATATAAGCAATATCAACATCTTTTTTCGTAGAACTACCCAAAATACTTCTCTTTGAATCTTATCATATATTTTTCTAAATCAACAAAAATCATATATAGATCATCCTTATTCTCTTTCTGCTTCTCTATCAAATTTCGTAATAAATGTATGGCTTCTCTAGTAGACTTGCTCGACATGAATCAAACTTGATTTTGAGAAATTTTTGTATCACATCGCAACCTATATTTGATTACTCCCATAATTTTAATGTGTGACATATTAACTTATTTCCTTTATAATTTGCACATTCTTGTGCATCTCCTTTATTCTTAAAAATAGGAACCAATAGATTTTCTCTTTCCATCAGATATCTTTTCAGTTTATAAAATAATATAAAAAAATTTATTAAATCGAGAAATTCTCATGTCTCATAAATTTCACATATCTATTTGAATACCATCAAATCTTAACTGTTTTTTTATATTTTATTTTCTTTAAAGTCTTCTCAACTTTCATTTTACCAATACGAAGTTAAAAAAAAAATTTCTACTATTTATGATATTAATATCACTAAAATCAATCATACTTTCACAATATTCATTGAAAATTTTATCAAAACATTTTACTCATATGTTGAATATCCTTCCATAAGAAAAATGTTTTTTTATTTTCATCCCAGATACACTTTATTTGAAGTTAATTTTTATGTTTTTTTAATCTATTGCTTGATTAGTTTATATGTATATCTTTCACTCTCTCTACTATATAATTTATTATAAAAACTACTTAAAAAGAAGTTTTAGCATCATAAATTTTGCTCTTAGACTTCTACGCCATGTTATGTTATTGGTCAATTCTTCAAGCTTTCCATCTAAATTAATTTCTTTAACAAATTTTTTTATATTTTTTCTTTTTTCGTATATTATTATTTGAACCTCATCTATTTCTATTCATAAGAGATTTTCCATTTGATTATCCAAAAATATCTTTTGTAACCTGTTTAATAATAATCATACTTTATTCCATTTAGTAATAACTTCTTACTGAACATCCCAAATTTTAAATCTTAAAATTTACTCATAAAAATAATTTTATTTGTATTTCAAGTACTTTCGTCTAATTCTATGATAATATTTTGGTGTATTTTTCTATTTTTCAACTTGTCTTTTTAAGTCCAAAACTAATAATCGATGTTGGGTACTTAAACTTTCATTTGAAATGAACTTATCATCTTTATAATCTCAACCATCTTTTTTTTCTTTTTAAAAAATTATTAATTTTTATTTTAGTAGATTCATTCTTATAACTGATAATATATTTGTATCCTTTTTTTAGATAAAGTTTTAGCAATAACAATATTATAAGCTAAAATAAATATCAATATGACTTTATCTTCTTAAATAGTCAATCCAAAATCATAATCATCGTGAATATTTTATAATCTTCTATTACTTCATCAACATGTCCATTTAAATCTCCTCCAATAAAAATTATTTCTTCAAGATGTATCCTATATATTAATTCCTCCACATTATTCCAAAACTTTTCTTTTGTAAGTATATTTAAACCTACTTGGGGAGCTTAAATATTTATAACATTAATAATCTTATTATCAATAACAATATTTAGAGTTATTATTCTATTTCCAATTCTATTAATTTTCTTAACATTATCTTTCAAACTTATATCTATAATTATACCTACACTATTTTTAGTATGACTTCTACTTAAATATCTATGTTTAAAATCTAAGCTATCAATCTCTTTAGTTTTCTTTCACCCCATGCATTTTCTTCAATGCATAAGATATTTATCTTCCTTTGAATCATAATATCTACTAATTCCATGAATTTACCAATGAGAGTATTTATATTTCAACTTTCTATCCTTATATTAGTTTTGTGGACTAATTTTTTTGCCTACCTACGTTCATAATGTAAAAACCTTTGTTTATTTAATACTACACCTAAGTGTCAGTGCATCACATTTTTCACTGTATTCAGGTCATGTAGCGCGTCGCTTTCAGGTGATGCTTTAACATTAATACAATGATTAAAGATTCATGTCGTAGTGTTTTAATAAAAAAAAAAAATTTGCAATTTGTCGACTACCTAATTCAACCTTCATTTTCAGCATTTGGGATTTGTGCCTCGGCAATGACAGTGTTATATTTACTTAAGTTATTAATTTTTAACTATACTGATTCTCACATGAATCCGCCACCCTTGATCATGCAAATGATGGAATCACACATATTTTGTTGTCTTAGGTTAACGACTTTGCACTCTGTCATCCCAAATCATTTAGAGAAAAAATTTATTTATTTTGATGCTTTGTTATTATGATTAATCCTTGTAATATTTTTTTTTTCATGGAATGTTAATTTTTTTATCATCATATTATATTTTCCAGCTTGTGTTTTTTATAGCTTTTTTGAGGATAAATGGATGTAAGGATTTCATAAAACAATCCAAATTAATTCAGTGGCCATTTAATCCTTTTTATTAAACTGTGAACTAGACCGATCACTTTTCTTCAACGCTTCAAAGTGTGCTTCAACAAAGTAAGGAGAGCGTCATGTGCTTCGCTTTGCTCTTAAAGCGCACTTTTAAAAACCTTGGTATTACGTTAACTTAGAAATATGAGTGTTCACCTTGACCTAAAAGTTATGCTTTTGTCTTTTAATGCTTAAATGTGATCTATTTAGCATAAACCTTCGTTAACCAAGAAAATGTTAGTTTAATATTAATTTTTTTATTCTGTGTTTTATTAACTTTTAAATATTTAATTTAATCCTTTTCTGATTCAAATATACAAATCATAACGTTTAAATTTCTTTACCTTGCTATCATATATTCAGATTTATATTACAACTTTAATATCTCTAGATTTAACGTAAAGACATAAAATTAGAATATAAGTTACTTCTAGTCTTTTTTCATTTAGTTGTAATTTATTCTAATTTTTAATTACTAAATTTAATATTAATTTAACTTTTAGGTGTTAATTAAATTCAGATTTCTTATATATATATATATATGTGTGTGTGTGTGTGTGTGGTGTGTGTGTGTGTGTTTCATTGTAATTTCAAGTTCTAATAAAAGTTAATAAATAATATCTATCATTTACTTTTCTAACAACCTTCAACAATTATGTTCATGTTAATTGATCTAAAATAACTATATTATTTAATAACATTTTTCCTTCATACAAGTATGCAAAGTAAACTTAATTAATTTTCTTTTACCTAATTAAAGCTCATACATTATGGAAAGTGTTCATAAATACTTGACACATTCCTACATCTAGATAATTAATTACCTTAAATTTCATTTCATGTCTATTTAATTTTTTTTTTCAATTCAATTAATTTTACATAAAGTATTTGTCTATGCATATTTTTATTTTATACTATTGAAATCTTGTAACTAAAGTATTTTCACCAATTAGAAGCACATAGATTACTCTTAGATAAAATAATTCCAAATAAATTGTACAGATTATAACCTAATCTTAGTCCTTTCTGTTTACATTGTTTTTGTGAGCTTGCTAACGTTCCATCCATTTCGACAACAATCTTGACTCGTCCTTGTTCCTTGATCAAGTCCTCTCACCGTCAATCATTCTTGATTATGCGCTCATGAGCTTTGCTTGAATCCCACATGCCTATCCTCTCACCCCTCTTGTTCTAAATGTCGCTCACTGCTGCTGTCATCTCTCTCGACATTGCTCTAGCTCACATCGTTGTTGCCTTTTTCTCCACTTGTGCAATTCTTTTTTGTTTTCACCCTCTTTTTCACTCTATTGCGTTCTCTTGCTCAAGTCTCAGCCTGTTGCCCACATAACAACATAATGATTAATGTCAATTCAATTGAACTAGCATTAGTCGGTTCAATTTTTTTTTCTTAAACACATAACATTACAAATTTTCCCATTTATGAAAATTGTGTCTTAAAAAACTTGCAGACCATTGCTTATTATATTTATCTAGTGTGAATCATTTCCCTGTTTTTCATAAAAAAATAAGGTTAAATAATGCTATTAATTATTATAAAATCATAACAATTAAGATCATTCCAAATGAGTATCAATGTCAAATGCATATCTAATTTACCGGGGAATGACATTTCATATAAGCTAACATTTTAATATGCTTTGACCCCAGTGGCATCAATGATTGCTCAGAAGAGTCCTTCGTTTTAGATAGAAAAAGATGACACTTTTTTTTCTACCGTTGAGACTAGCTATAGTCCTTAGATCGACATTGTTAGTGAATTCTAACTTGTTTTTGCATAATATTTTTTCTCTCCTTGCACTTGCCTAATTTATTTGTCCTGTATCAGTCTTGTAGTCAAATATGAACCAAACCAATCTTTGAATAACTTGACAAAATTCTCTCAATTTACCAGTATGTTCAGTATGTCTCCAAATTTATCTTGATGTTGTTCTCGCTTCCACATTTTTTGCTTCATCCAATGTAAATTTAGTGAGTTGTATCCTTCTTTCATCATAATATATTCTATTATCTAATATTTTTTTTTATATGCAGTAATCAGTTTGTTGCTTCAATCTGTTCTTTAGCTCCCTTGAGTAAAGGTGTTCGCTAGTCTTGGAATAACGCTATTTGTTCACTATAGTAGTATGATCACTTCTAATATATTGAAATTTCAAATCTTGGATCAGTTGTATTATCATCACCGTCTTTTGGGTAAGGGTATTTATATTCAGTGACAGTAGGCGGTGATTCTTCTTTTATTATATTTCTATACTCCACTTCTTGTGCATCCATAGGCTTGAAGTAAATAATCTCATCTAATTAGAGTTAACCTTAATCAAACTTTCAAAATTTCTCATGATTATTTTTTGTAATTGTCCTAAAAATCTTTTAACATAATTATATTGCTTAACCTCTTATTGATATCACTTTTTTCACTACCTAGCTAGGAGTTTGAAATTTTTAAGACGGGGACATACTGTTTTACAAAAAATTTAAATTTCAAATAATATTTCAATCAAATGAAAATAATTATCCAGTTAATGGAAAGAGCAACTAAAAATAATATTCAAAATTAATTTAAAAATAAAATAGTTATTATTATAAATATTGTTCTTTTATTTGGCTGCATCTTTGATATATGGTTTCTCTTCTTCACTTTTTTTCTTATCACGCTAATTTATTCTAAAAATGTTATTTTTAATTATGATGAGTTATATGTTAACATAGAAAATTTTAATATTTAGTTGATCTTTTTATTTATACATTATTATTAACTTTTAATTACTTAATTTAAATATTTATAATTTAAATACACAATCTTAACATTTCCATTTTTTTTTACATTGCTATTTTATATTCCAATCTGTATGACAAATTTAAATATTTATATAATAACAAAAAAAATATAAAATTTTAATTAAAGTTTTTCTATTATTTTTTCATTTACTTTATTAATAATTTATTTTATTTTATTACTAAAAATAACATCAATCATGTAATAATAATTTAGCTTTCACGTTTCATTCATAAAATTTAAAAGTTTTTACCTTATATATGTTTGTTTTTATTATTATAAATTTCAGAGGTCTTAATAACTTTAATTAATAATATCTATCATTTTATTTTCTTGCAGCCTTCGCTAATAAACTTTTTGTTACTTGATTTGAATTGACTTTTCAAATATATAAATTAAACTTAATTAATTTTCTCTTACCTAATCAAAGCTCATATATGATAACTAATGTTCACAAGCACTTAAGTCTTCACTACAACTATCTATCAACCTACCTTTCATTTTATTTTATGTTCTGTTTCAATTTTTTTTTCTTTCAATTCAATTAATTTTATGCAGAGAAAATATTTATCTATAGATATTTATATTTTATGCAAATGCAATCTTATAACTAAAATACCTTTACTTAACATATTATTCTTATTTGGTCAAAATAATATCTGAATCAATTATAAACGGCAAAACATTTGTAGGTATGTATAACGTAGTCTTGGTCATTCTTGCGCACTCTATTTTTGCGTGCTTGCAAATGTTCCATCCAGCTCAACAACTTCGCAGACTTGCCTTTACTCTCTGATTGAGCCTGCTCACCTTTGCTTGTACCTGATTTCTTGCACCTGAATTCCGTGCAATGTTGAACCCATTTAGTTCCCACTTTGCTTACTGCTTAGGTCGTTGCCCTTTGCTTCAGTTGAGCTCGTGTCATTGTTGCCTTCTTTTTAGCTCACTTCCCTCCCCCTCACCGTGCATTCACTCGGTCTTTCCTTCCATTTCTTTTATAAAAAATGAACCTACTAATGTTGGTTCAGTTGTACTTATATTAGTTTGTTCAATTTCTTTTTTAATTTTTTTTTTCAAATACGGGTCATTACAAAATTTACACCAATATTTCAGAGTTGCATGTTGATAAAAGTTAATAGAATAAGTTTGTATACCATTAATGATAAATTATTGGTTGATATTATGGTAAATATAAATATTTATGGTGTTATATTAGAAAGTAAACTGTAATTAGAATTAAAATATTTCATTAATGAGTGTGGGCTTGGAGTAGTGGTTAAGTTGCCTTTATTCAACTCCTGGCGGTCCTAGGTTTGAATCACAGAAATGTCCTCTTTTGCAAACACATGTTTGCTTTCATTAGTCCCACTTTAGACGCTGAAATTGTGGAAACTCTGTGCATTAATTTTATTAACAGTCTTATTCTTTATTTAACATCTCATTAATGACTATCAAGATTTCTCTCAGTTTTTGATAAATACGTGATGCTATGCATTCTTTCATAGCTAGACCTTGTCATGATGGCTTCTTTAAATTTCAGCATGTTAAATTCAAATGGCTTCCTTAAATATACTTCAGGTTATGTCTGATGAAGATGGTCGGAAAGGAGCCTGGTTTTCAGCCCAAGTACTTGACATTAATGATAACAAGGCATATGTCTGTTACGATGATGTGTCAACTACTGAAGGTAATTATCAATCTTTATGTATTTTTCAATTGATGAACTTTTAGCAAGTCATATTAGAATGTTGTGGTTAGGGTGGATGAAGGTTCTACATAAAGGCTGAATGGTATATACTTCAGGTGGTAGCTAAAATTTTTATCCATTTATTTTTGAATTTGTTGCATTAATATTTATGCTTTTTCAAGAAATGGCTACAAAAAAATGCTATACACATTAGTTCTGTGTAGGCAAAATTGAGGTTTTATTGCCTCAGCTATCCTATTTCTGGAATAAAAGCATTGTCCTTGTAGTTATTATGATTGCTGCTCAGGTTTTTTACTAAATACTTTTGTTTGCTGTACTTTCTCTTAATTTCATTGTTATAAGATAAAAAACACTTTAATCATATCATTTTTTTTGGGTGTAATTTAAGTTGTTTCCCCCCTTCTTTCTAATTTATCAACTTGTTGTCTTGCATGTCTATGCATTTCTCAGTTGAACCTGTATTTTCTATATTTAGTTTGTTAACCTCGTCTAATATCAAACTCAATTCTGCACACTTTTTTAACAGATCAGTATAATCTCATGTTTGTGAAACATTATTTTCTCATATCTTTTCAAACACATTTTATTTAGTTTAGCTGTCATACCTTTTATGGCTCCCAATCTATTGAGCATGTCATGTGAAGCTTGCCAAACACCGTTCTTCCTGAATTTATTGGTTATGTCCTGTTTAGGCTGGCTAAAAGAATGGATTTTGCTTGAAGAGGGAGATAAGGCTCCCAGAATTCGGACATCTCATTCCACAGCATTTGTGAAGTATGAAGGCACAAGGAAACGACGTAGAGAGCACCTAGGAAGCTATATATGGGAAATTGGAGACCATGTTGATGCTTGGATACGTGACAGGCAAGGATGCTTTGATTTATTTCTAAATTTTCTTGTACAGTACTGGCATCTTGTAACACGAAACTAGAATTGGTAAGTAAAAGTACTTCAAACCTTTCATTTGATTGATATTCGTTTATAATTAGTTTGTAGCCACCTTCGTTTGCCATCTGCAGCTACTGTAATGGTTTACTTGGTATCTTGAGTTGCTCCAGTGTTATTTATATTCATCTGCATTGTGAAGCAATTAAATGATAATGATTAATTTAAGTTTATTTAGTTCCAGCTTTTTTGTTTATTTGGTAATTTTAAAATTTAGTTGACTCTTGACTTGCTGGTTATCTATGAGAATGTGATCTGTTCTCTTTATGTGTGATATTCTTGATTTGGTTAACCTTTAGTTGTTTCTTTCCAACTAACTAGAGTAGGATTGCTATTAGTTCTTTTACTGGATGATCAGTTCAGTCCTATGGTTTAGTTGTTTTTTGAGCCTGCACTGTTGTAGCCATTCAATTTCTGTTGCAATATAAGGTTTGTTACTTCGTTGGTACTTTGGTCCAGTGACTCAGGTGGTTTATGTTACATCTCAGTCTCAATTTTTATTGTTTGTTATGTTCAAGAGAGGATTTTTATTGCAATCTTTTCTTGGAATCGATAGTCAACAGTTTTGTAACCTACATGCTGCTTTTTACAAAAGTTCATAGTTCATGCGTGTGGTTATTGCGCCAAGATTTATAGATGTTTATGGATTTCAAATCAAGCACTTTTTGAGGTTTTAGATTGAATGAATTTGATGATTATGAGTCAAATCTAATGCCTTTATTGGATAAATTTTGATTAATAAAATTTAGCTCTCTTTTTTAAACCTTCTATAATTGTATGTGGATTCCTTTTAATGTGGTGGAAGCATCATAAGGGGAATATATCTCTTTGTACAATATGACGGTCTGATCTGTATTATATTTACTGATCTTTTTCTTTAAATCTTTTTTTCTATATATTTGTTATTGCTATTGCGTACGATCATAATTTTGATCAACTAAGGTAAAAAAATCAATGATTTTCTAGTTTTTTTGCTATAATTTCTCATTGAATGTTCACGTTTAATTAATAATGAATTATAAAGACATCTAACAAAAACAATAATTCAATATTAATTAAACGTGAACATTCAATGAGAAATTATAGCAAAAAAAGATGTCTTAAAATTTTTTTTGTATGATTAGTGGCTTTGTTTATATGATATATAATTGTTGCATCATTCTAGTTGTCCATTAGAAACTCCAGATGCGAAGATGTTTTAAATTTGAAATAGAGCTTGTGGTTGCTCCATCTTGTCAACATGAATTGGACAAAATCATCGGATCATACAAATAATAATGGGAGATTCACTTTAAATCAAATCTTTCAATTTATAATTCTGGACAACTACATTGTGATTGACATATGTTCAAAATTCTTTTTTAATTTTGATGGGCGGTATAATTGTAGAAATTTTCAAATTGAATAGAGAATTTGAGACTTTTTTTTTTAATATTATGTTTTTTTTTTATTCCTATATAGCTGAATGTAGAAAATCAAAATTAGTGGTTCAAATTCGATCATCAGTGCAAAGCATTGTATTTAAGTTGTAATGGTTTTATATTAAATTTTGACTCAATAAACAATACTTATCATCATTCTTTAAAATTGCACTATTAGAGATGTGCCTTGAGACGTGCCTCTACACCTTCCTTTTTTCGTCTGTTGAAGCCTCATTGCTCGGATCGGTTGAGGTGTACACCTCAGGTATTCTGAGGCGCTCAATAAGGTGCCTCGCCTTTTATTCGATGAGGTGTCCACTTTGCCTTCGATTCTACCATCTCTCGCAATCTGCAAGCCTCCTGTCTCGATCTCACACACCAGTCTATACTAGATGACTCCGTGGATGTTAAGGCATTCGATGCCTGATCCTCTTGCTACCGACATCGCCACAACAAGCCACTTATTATTTCGTTCAAACTCGCAAGCTCTTGTATCTTGCAAGCATACCGTTTCTCTCTCATGCACTGGACGATGCCGCCTATTGCATCGGATGATGCCGTTGATGTTTGACGCTGGTGCCGTCTGATACTCTTGTCGTTGGCGTTGCTGCAACCACCTACTGCTATTTGGTTCGAATTCACACGTGCCATCTCTATTTGTTGAACCTGCAGGGATTTAGGTTGAACAGTTGAAGCATTAGGTTTTATAAATGTAAAAAGTAAAGTTCAAGTGTTAGATATGTAAATATATAAAAATTGGGTGGTATATATGATAGTGCTCCAAGAAAAATTGAAGATTTATGTATATACCGTACAATTCATATGTATTACATATCTAACGCCTAAACTTCAATTTACAAATTTGAGTGACATTGGGTGATATTCTTGATAAGATATGAAAGATTCAAGTGGTTTTAAGGTAAAAAAATAAAGTTAATGTGTTAGACATGTAAATACATAGGGATTGAGTGATATATGTGTAAATGCCCCAAAACAATATCTTGAGTCACAAGTCAAACCTACAAAATGCCTTTGATTGTTGATTTGGTCCAATAATTTTATGTTAAATTTTAATTATTCTCTTATGATTTTGAATGCCTATGAGACATTTTTTAATGAATTGAGTTCCTACATTTTAGGATTGAATTTGAACATGCGCTTGAATTCTAGGCTTCCAATCTGCTTTAATATCTAAAAATTATGATGTTATTACTCACACACACACACACACACACACACACACACATTTTCACAACACAGTTTTCAAATTGTGAAGCTTACGCTTTAGTCTGCCTTAAGCTCTACGCCTCGCCTCATGAAAAGAAAATGCCTCAATACCCATTTGCTTGCTTATCATTTGGTCAATATTGAGAACAATTGCCTTATCAATTTGATGGTTTCAAGTAAAATATGATGTTTTTGAGTACGATGAAATAATTATAGTTCTTTTAGCAAAACCATATTTGTTTTCCTAAACGTCTCGAGCAAGAAACTAGGGATAGATTAAACTATTTTTTTTTCAAAATATTGCATAAAGGTTTATAGATATCAATATTCATTGTCATCTTAGGAATATTACAAGTATGATTAGTGTTCCAAAGTGAAGTGGGGCTCCTTAAGGGTTGAATTGGCTGAAGAACAGCTGGACCGATTCATCCAAACGAGTGTGAGGCTGGTTGGCTTCTATTTTTGAGGCTAGGGTTGCCTACCCCTCCTAGTTATCTTCAATTATAAATATGTTATTTTCTATTTTTATGGTTTAGTTTTTTTTTTGTTTTATATCGGGATAGTCGTCGATGTTTCAAGTTCTCCCTTGTAGGGCTTTCAGTGCTCCAGTTGGTGTTTATCTCTGTTTATCCCCTTTCTCCCTTGCTCCTCTCCTTGCTGTCGTCTAACTCTCCCGCACCCCCTACTCCATCCACGTGTTCTCCCTTCTTGCCGAAGATTTAACGTGAACCACTCCCCGGCAGTGCTTTCCGCCCCCTTCCCCCCTTCCACTCCTTCACCATCAGTCACTTTACCCTTTTGCCACCTTAAAACCGCAGTTTTCCTTGCGGCAAAGACCTTTCAAGCCTCTGCCATCCCAAACTATCCCTTCCTTCCAAACCTGCAGCCGCACCTCTCTCTCCTTCCAAAACCTACAACAACATCCAAACATAAACTCTATTTGCTTTGGTATAATACAATTCTGCTTTTTCTAACAAATCTTGGGTTAGCTCCAGTATCAACTAGTATCAAAGTTAGTCTAACGCTGGTCTTATCATAGTATTTTTAGCCTTCCTACGCATCTCTACCCCAAAAAGTTTCTTTCATATCCCTAAATATCTTTTCCACTCCCCTAAATCCAAATCTTAACCATATCACCGAGGAGATGCATGCTCAAGTCTATCTAGGAAGAGATACAATAAAAGATCCATCGGTTTCAACAAAGGTTTGCCGAGATTGATGATGGAACCCATGAGGAAATTATCCTCCGATCGAGATAGGGAAGGTCAAAGAGGAGAAAGGGACGAGGTTAGGTATTTTTTTTCATAGGGATGATTTCAGTGATGAGGAAGACATACCCCGATGTTTCTAAATTCAACATCAGAGGATGGCCGAGAGAAGAGGCAACATATGAAGGACATAAAATTTTTTACATAAAGGTGGATCTACTAGAGTTCGATGAAGGTATGTATCTAGATGACCCGAATGACTGCAGTCAGTTGAGAGAATCTTTGAGCACAAAGAAGTGTCAAAGGATAAATGGGTAAAGTTTGCAGCCATCAAGTTGAAAAAGAGCAGCTCCTTGTGCTGTAAAAATTTATAGAGGTGAAGAAAGAGAGAACAATTACAAGATTATTAGTGGGAGATCATAATGAATTAAATGCAGAGAAAATATTTACCGCCTCATTATTGTCAGGATGTTTTTGAGACTCCACCTACAACAGAGAGGCCTATCAGTGGAGGAGTTAACGACACAATTTGATCAGTTGCAAATTAAATGTGAGTTGGTCGAGCCAGAGTAACATTTCATAGCCAGATATTTGGTGAGCTTGAAGCCAGTTATCAACAATGTTGTGCAGCTGCAACCCTATTGGTCACTGGGAAATGCCCAAACATTATCCTTGAATTTGGAGAGACAATAGAAACATGACAGACAATTAACAACATTCAGAAAGCTACCAGCAGTTAAATTCATCAGTAGAACACGCCCCAGGGAGTTGAGAAAACTGGTTAGGATAAGGACCGAGCCATTCGGAGTGAAGAGAAACATACCCACTACAACACCAACCCGAAAGTGCTTTAGATGCCATGGATTTGGGCACGTCGCCTCTAGTTGACCGACAAGTCGAGTTGTTTTCTTTAGCTAGCAGGGTGTAGTGGAGGAGATTAACGACGAAGAGGCAGTTGAAGAATAGTGTGAGGTATATCAACTTCCACCAGATGAAGGTGAGATACTCATGGTTCAACGGGTCCTATAGACTGAGGATATTTAGGAATCATAGTGGCTTCACC